TAGCCCCCCCGTACTGGCTACTGTGGAGAAAATCATCTCTACCCCAGCCCAAACCAGCACAATATTTAATATTTTTGTCCTAGATGGAACATTGATCTGATGTTACTTATTTTCCAGAAAAGCAGTTATTCGAAGGTTAAAAACTGTCTATTCCAACAAAACTGCTTTCCAAGTCCACATTAGAGTTGGCAGTAATACAGTTTATTGCAATCACTTATGTGGGCTATTACTGCAAATAGCTATTTTGTGCTTAGCTTTACACATACAAGTAATCACATGATTTCCACAGTAATAGTTGTGCAAGTATTGCTCAATTTCATTAGAAAAAGTTAGATGGTCCAGCTTCTGCTTCTATTTATCGGTCACATAGAGGAAAATTATACCCTGACTTGCTGGAAGTCAATGACGATATTCTCCCTCACATTTACTGAAATCAGGGCTGCCTTTCACATTCGGTGGCCATATGAAAGTCTGTAAGTTGAATAAATAAAAAAGTTCATTGAAGAAATGAAAAGCAAGGAGTAACTTTATCCCTGGAGTAGTCAGGACTTAAATTAGTGAATGAATACAGCTTTTTTTTGGTAATAGCTTTTTCTTTTACTTTGGTACACGATATTGTCTTTTTGGTTTTGGATTTTTCCAACCCAGGCTCTTCTATGAACCTGTCACTACACCTTGTGGACACACCTTCTGTCTCAAGTGTCTTGAGAGATGCCTGGATCACAACCCAAAATGTCCCCTGTGCAAGGAAGGGCTCTCGGAGGTAATGATGCTTGGATTTTCTCAGCATAAATTCAAAGGCACAGAATAGGATCTAGTAGCACCTTCGGAAACCTTTGGTATTTCCCAACTCAAAAAATAAATATTATGTAACTTAAGAAAAATGTTGTGGGTTGGTTTTGGGTTTTTTTTTAATGCCCTTATGACTTAGAAAGCATGGCTAGTCTCTGTTCAGACCTTAGGGCCAGAGCTATACTTGAAAAATCTGGGAAGGGGAGGGAAACCACCTACAGGTTGTCTAAGATAATGCCTATAACATAGGGAATAGTTCAATAAACATCTCTTCAGTGGCAGTGCAAGGTCAAAAGATCCATTTTTTGCTATAGATATGAGAAAATGGAGCTAACAGATGAGAACCTTGTGCATTGGCACCATACGCTTTGAAATGCTAGACATTATCTAACTGCTTGTGTGTGTTTTTACTGCAGTGCTTGGCGATGAGGAAATACTGTAAAACAGTACTAATGGAGGAATTAATAGCTAGATATCTTCCAGAGGAACTCACTGAAAGAAGAAAAATTTATGAAGAGGAAATAGCAGAGCTTTCCAAGTACGTAATCCATTTATGTAAAATCCAATCTTTAATACTACTGCCGTTAGCTGATGAATGACTCCTGCTGCTGTGGAATGCAAGCTAAGATGCCAACGGAGGAGCTTCCTTCTTGGTATCATGTGATTTCTAAGAGAACAGGGTCCAGGTGAAATTGTGCTTTGAGTTAGCACAAAAACGGGACACTGTGCTAAACAATAAGCAGAAGTAGAAGAAATCCAGAAGGTTGCTTTATAAACAGACTTAGTTGCTTTCTGCAGCCCTGTGTGAAAGCCAGAGTGAGGCTGTAGGTAGTAGTCGCCTCATAGGCTGGGGGTTGGAATGTACTGGGTAGGGAAGAAATGGGATTAAGGAAAATAAAGTAAATAAAAGCAATAACAGAGATGTATTAATGCTCTCACTAGCAAAAACAGAACTAAAAACTCTTTTGCTAGTAAGTGGTAGATCACTTTCCATAATATCTAGTCAGTTGAGGGGAAAAACAATTTTAGTTTTTACTTACTCCATTAAGAATTTTATTCTAAATATATTATAATTTCTATTTAAAGATACTATAATTATAAAGTATATCTTACTGCATAAAATGTATTTTATAATTTGTTAGTAGTTCAGCAAAATGTCGTATCTGATTGGTCCTTTGTTTCTTACAGCCTAAATAAGAATGTTCCTATATTTGTCTGCACAATGGCTTATCCTACAGTCCCCTGCCCTTTGCACATCTTTGAGCCGTGTTATCGCCTGATGATTCGAAGGTGCATGGAGACTGGCACCAAACAATTTGGGATGTGCATCAGTGACCCTGTGAAGGGGTGAGTGAGCAACGTGCTCGCACAGTGTGATCTACCCCGCTTAGTCTGGAGCAGGCCTCTTCAGAGAGGTGCAGAAAGGTCCATGGCTGTAATATCTGTGATAGTTTTCCAGTAGAGAAAGTTTCTTCCTAACTCTGCCTGTTAAAGACACTGAGGAGACTGATGTTTCTCTCTTGAGCACTTAGATTCTAAGATGACTGCACATATTTCTTGAAACACGCATAGCTAGCGTGTGTTATACAAAGTTGAGCTGCTGGTTTGGAATCCGTTAAATCTGTTGAATGTTTTGTGTGTTATACAAAGTTGAGCTGCAGACGTCTTGTAATACATGAAAAGGAAGTGTATTTTCTACTGGTTTGGAATCCGTTAAATCTGTTGAATGTTTTTGCAGAAGAAACCAAATTGAAATGTCAGTAAGGTGTGTTGGCGGGTTTAGAGTTTTTTTAAATTATGAAAAGAATAGCTAAGCTATTGGGATACATTTTATATCCTCACTGTTCTGAATATAGTGGAGGCCGCAGAGGTACAACAGGACCTTCATAAGGACTGGCTGAGCATTTACTTTGAGCCATTTACAGTCATGTCTTAGGTAATTTGACCTTAACGTCTGTCTCTGTATTTAGCTTTCCTCTCTTCTTTTTATGGTATATACCTACAGGGTATGTATACACCATAAAAAGCATGATGTATACAAAATACATGCCTACAAAGTAAAATCTGATGAAATTGTGGGAAAACTTTTTTTCTTTATAGATTTCCATAATTCTAATATTCTGAATTGCACTTATTCTTCTGTACAAATCAACTGAACGTATTAGGAGCATGGAGAAAGCGTGCTTCTGAGTTGTAAAACTTTCAGTTTCATAAGATGTTCCCTGTATTCCAAAACATGCAGTTAGTGTTAATCAGATTAGACAGCCTGAATCTTCCTGATAGTTTTGAAAACAATTGTGGAATAATTTGAACTACAGTAGGTCAGTACTATGAACAATAGAAACAAGCTGACACTGGTAAATACCTTTGTGGGTAGGGACTGACTGTATGGCAGTTCTGTGGAACTAAGGGTGGAGAGAATAAGACTTGTTTACTTGCTTTTGTTCTGATTTCAATAGGTTTGCAGATTATGGCTGCATTCTGGAGATAAGAAATGTTGAATTCTTTGCTGATGGTCGCTCTGTTGTAGACAGCATCGGCAAGAGGAGATTTAAGGTGATACAGCACAGCCAGCGTGATGGCTATAATACAGCGGATATTGAGTACATCGAGGATCAACAGGTACATTTAGAAATCTTTAATTTAAATGACATTCCATGTGAAACTAAGCATATATGTTTTCAGTGAGTTCTCTTGTTGTAGAACAGTTTCTAGTAAAACAAATCTGTGGTATTTACTAACAGCTCATGGCTAAAGATGGGAAACGTAGTAGTTGCCACAAGCATGCACACACACTGCCCATATGCTGAAGAGTGTTTTTCCTAGAGGTTTTTAGCAGAAGACAAAACAAAGTGAATCTTAGGATGAGATCTTGCCACTCTTCCAGACAGAATAGCTGCAGTTTATAAGGGGGTGGAGGGGAACCTGCCTCCATTTGCATGGAAGCCAATTAGAAAACTCCCATTCAGGTGAGAAGGAGCAGGACTGGGTCCACTACACCTTCAAAATTATTTACATTAGTTCTTATTTAAAAAAATACATATGTAGGCAGTCAAAGTATTTTGGGTAACGTATGAGGTTTTGGTATACAATGGCAAGATAAAATGTCTACTCTGAGGAGTTGCTAATAATTTAAAAAAAAAAATCTTTGCATAATCTTTTCTTCTGTGTTGTATGATGTTTATGTAAAGGGTTTTTTTTATATAGCGATCCAGAAAGTGCTTGTTCTGCAAAGAAGTATCTTTGCTTTAGAATATAGAGTAAGAAAGTGAAGGATTTGATAGAGTGGGGGACACCAAAGTAGCTTTCAGATTTATTCCAGAACTCTCCTGGCATGCATGCTTTTCTTTCCTTTCATTTCCCCTACCCTCTCCAGAAGATCCGAAAAATTAATGTCATGTCTTCCCCCACATGCAGACTGAACTAACAGTAACCTTCCCCCTCTCTTTACTCATTTCAGGTACAAGGACAAGAGTATGCTGCATTACTTGTTCTCCATGATTCTGTCTATGATCAGGCATATATGTGGTTTAACTCCCTCAAGCAAGCACTCAAAAGTCGAATTCTCAGTCATTTTGGTCCAATGCCAGCTAAGGATCCTGACCCACAGGTATCCAGAATCAGTGGCTTATCTAACTTTTAGAGACAAAAACAGCAGGGATAGCTGATAAGCTGGGAGGCATTGTGTTTTAACATGAAAATGTGAATACTCTTCATTTATCCTGCATAAGCTAAGAATCTATGTTATGTTGCCATACACCAGCGGTGGCACATTTGTGAACAAAAAAGCTCGTATTTAGTGCTGGTAACTTCCTGAGACTACTTAACTGACTGTATTAATCCCAGGAGACTTAAATGCCTTTTTGCCTACTCCCCCAATTAAACGACTGAGAGAAAATAGACAAGAGGAAACTTGGTACTCTTGTTCAAGGACTGCAAATGGTAGGGATCCTAAAATAACAGAATGTAACAACAGAAACTAAATATGAAGTAGTGTCATGAAGTATGAAGAAGGGAGGTAGGAATCCCAAAGGACTCCGTCAATAATAACATGGGAACAAAAGATACTAAAAAATCTAGAAAGCCCAACCTATAAACTGTTGCTACAAATAGAAATGCATCTTGCTTCTGCCTTCAACATCCTATTTTTAGGAAAGGTGCAACTTGGTTGTAATTTTTTTCAAGGCAACCTGTAATCCCAAGCCCTTAGGCTGGCAATGAAATGACCTGCTTGCTTGATTGCTATTCAGATAATGCGTTTTTAAAATTAAATCTTCACAAACAAGACCTTACCATCTGTATGTATCCTAACTTGGTTTTTTTTTTTTTCCCTTTACTGCAGGCTAACCCTAACGGGCCAGCCTGGTGCTGGTGGGTCCTAGCCGTCCTTCCACTGGAGAACAGAGCTCAGCTCCCTTTCCTTGCCATGAAATCCCTCAAAGACCGCTTGAATGGCATCAGACGTGTCCTTACATTCATGTCTCGTACAAGATCACGGTGATGGTGAGGAGAGCTGTGAAGTCTCCCCCAGTACTTGACTGTAGACTGTCTCTTGTAACTTCATCTAACTGCAATAATGTCTTACAGATTTGAGTGTCAGGATGTTTCAAGCCTGAATTTCAAAGAAAATGAGTTATAAAGAGCAAGGGATGTTTATGGATACTTCAATAGTTTCCATTTGGAACTCTGAGATGATTATTCAATCACTGCACTGCTAAATTAATAACAAATGTGATAGAACAAAAAGTGATCTTGTTTGCCGTAAACCTTTTAAAAAGCTTAAGAGGTTTTTTAATTTATTTTATTTTTATTTTTTTAGTGGATAAAGGATAAACTGTGCAGTTTAATGTGAAGCAGAAATAATAATGTTAATGCATTATTTCAGTGAACTGCAGTCTTTTATTCCAAATGGTTCAGGTTTTATATAGCATTGTGTAAAATAATGTTCACAACTTCCGTTTGATAATTTATTTTTGCACTATGATTTTTTGTTTCAAAATGTATATTATTTATGTGTTCATTCTCTAAAGGAAAATGAGCTGCTCTCTTTATTTATAGTGGTTTTACCCTGTATTTATGACTGGGGGCAAAATGATGATTCTAGCAGTGCACAAGCAGCTGCTTTGATAATTTTTCAGACATTTGTGTTCAAATACTTTGAATGTTTTTCTACTTATCCCCAGTTCTACTGTAGCCTAAGAAGGATTTTTCCCCCTGAAACAGCCTGCCGTGAAGTCTTTGAATACACAGATTATGTCTGAGATAATTCAAGCACAGTTGTTGGAGCTTATCCTATGCTTGCAACTAGGTTCCCGATACCACGGAACAGTCAAGCAGATGTTTAACCTTAAGCATAAGTGTTACAGTGCTCGGGTAAATTCAAGTATTGATCAGTTGATGTCAGTGGGAATTGGCCATAGTGGTGACAGAAGGTTCTATCCCCTAATTTTTCACAGAACAGAGAATAACTTGGAGTTGAATTTATATCTGAACTCTTTCTTGCAAGAATGGATAATGGCTACAAAGAACTGCGAAGAAAGAGCCACAATATATGAAAAGTGGCTTCTCCTAAAGAAAACTGGAAGTGCTGGTCTCATTTCATTGTAGGTTACCGCATAGACTTTTTTTTTTTACATCAATTCTTGTTGCTGTTAAGATCGGTTTTCTTTCTTTGAATTGTTTGGTGGGATTTGGCTTTGGAGTGTGTGTATGTGGGGGGAAGAGGGAGTTATTTTGAACTGTAGGACTCAGAGGGCAGTTTGTGTCAGATGAGAAGGAATATGTTGTAATAAATGCTATTTATTTCACCCCGATCTTCAGGTTTCTGTTAGCTTCAAATCTCTACCCAGCCGTTGCATTTCTCTTAAGAGACTGGGTAGCTAATAATAGTTAACTCCCAAGGAAAACAAGTGAATTTTAGTGTGATTACTTCTAGCTATAAAGCAGGTAAAAATAGGGCAGAAATGAGAATAGGAAGTATCTTGGGTTTGATTTTATTTTTTTTTAATCAACCGCTCATAGACTTGTTTTGCTGCTGTTACTGCTTCTAGTGTACCACTTTATGGGACTGATCTTGCCTCCATCTGACTTTGACTTTCACTGATTTCAATGTGAGCAGAACTGGGCCTTTTATTCTAAGCTACTGTTTTCCTTTTCAGTGGCAAAAACCAGGTTGAACTGAGAATGTTCCAGAAGGCTACAAATTTATTTGTTATTTTTACCCAGGGTAGCACTCTGCCATTCCATGCCTTTATGGAAAAATGCAGTAGAATTTAATGTCAATTTTCCTTGTGGTTTTTTCCATCATCACCTCATCAGAAATACTTATTAGTTAAAAGTAACTTCCATTCTGTTAAGTTTCCGTAAAACTACCTTTGTTCCCCCTCTTGCTAAATTCTCCATAAGGGTACCAAAGAAACGAATGGAAGACAAACACGTTTCAGCCTTGTGATGCAAATGGAGTATGTATCCTGTGTTTGCATTGAGCTACTTGAGAAATGCTACAACTTCTTTCCATACTGCTAGATTGCTGCACTTCTTCCATAGGTGGTACTTTACATGCTTCTCTGTAAACAATGTATAGAAATACATACATGTTCTGAACAATAACAAGTGTATGGTGGCTGACACCTGCTATGGCATTTGTCTTCATTAGTCAGTAACGAAGTGATTTCTACTTGTTTGGAAGTGAAGCTGCATTAAATGCAATTCTTCCTTATGCCATTATGTATTATTCCATAACATAAGGGGCCTATATTGCTCCCATAGAAAAAAGCTGTCACTTTGTTACTCTTATCTGTGAGAAAAGGACCCTAAATATCTATTTTAAACTGTTTTCTTACTGACGTCATTGTTCCTTTTTCCTGCCTGCTACGTCTTCTCCATACTCATATTCTGCCTCTTCTGTTGATTTAGAAATTGGCATGGAAAGAATCCTTGATTTTAAAAGTGAATATTGTCTTTTCTATTAGCCTTGAGTAAAGCTGCCAGAATTTCCTAAGCAGAAACTCGTGTACATGCCCTATATCATGAACACCCAGTGCATTTGTTGCAACCTGGAAACACTGGACCCCACTGCACGTAATGCATACAGTTGATCTGCGTATGCACAACAAATTGAACACAGCAAGAAAGTGCATCTGTACATGTACAGTAGCGTTCTGTCTGGGACTGCTCCGTGGCCACACATCCTAGATCAATGGTTAAAGTCTAAATTCCATCAGAAGAAAAAATAATATTGAGGAATTTGCTAGAGAACACAAACCTGTCCAGGAAAAGCTGGACAAGGAGTAGCCTTCACCTGAGTTGAGATGGTAAAGTTGCAGTAATGAGGTTTAAAAAAACAAAAAAATCTTCTAGTTACACCACAGCATCGCTGATTATTTTTTTCAGTTGTATTAATCAGTACAAGGATGTAAATGCAACATTGATTGCAGGCATGAATAAACAGCTGAACAGATTTAAAAACACCTTCATGTTAATTACAGAAACAGCATTGATCAGACAAAATACTAATTGGGGAGTATTTTATTGAAGCTTGTCACATTTTTCTAGCCACCTAACCCAGTCCCATAAGCGGTCTTGCCCATCTGTTAAAAAAAAAAAAAAAATGACAACTCAAACTTTATTTCCTGCGTGGCTAGACATAGTGATCAATCTTTGCTGTGAGGGCCTAGGTCATTTAATGCATGGGCTTCTTGCTCACTCTTCAGAGAAGTCGGTTTCCATTGATCCTAGATTGCTCAGATAGGATTACTAAAACCAGTAGAAATTTTCTTTACTTCCAAGGAAATGTGATCAGTCCCCCTTTAAAAAAAAAAAAAAAAAAAAAAAAGAAAAAAAGGGGGGGGGGAATACAAAAAGCAAGTCTTCTGTAATGGGGGCGGAGAGGAAACCAAGAATAGATCAAACTGTAACTAAGTGCCAGTCTCCTGGGCGTGCTCACCTAAACATCCCCATGACACTTCTTGAAAGTTTTAGATTGCCATTTCTGTAAATGAAGTATTTCACAAAATACATTAAGATAAATAACAAAGGCTGGCTGTATCACCTTTCCAAATCTCCATTACATACACGTTATATGGTATTTAATTAAAAACAGAGAAGTTTTCTGTAGGAAGTAATACTGATTTTTCATTCCCATATATAGACATGACACTCAAAGTAACTTCTCTTTGTCTTATATGCTCCTTTGTCTAGCAATAACTGAAGGGGATATATTGCCATGAAAAGAGTTGTCATCTTGGCTAGCATGGCTTGGTTGAAAGTAAACCTGAGACAGGACTGGATTAATCAGGACAAATCATGAAACCTGACAGTGAACTTGGATACAGTTGTGGAAAGTAGTTCAGTAGTTTTAATGATGAAATGATGAAGTGGTGTGATAGGCCATTAGCATGCCAAGTCTTAAGTGACATTCTGGTGTTAGTTGTAAAAGTTCCTCTTACTTTTTTTTTTTTTATTATTATTATTTTAAGTAAGTGCTGAGATCTTCCATTACCTTGTAGCAATAAGTGACACCAGCTTGTCATACTGAACAGCTGACCTATTGCTTGGCCTATCCTCTGTCCTGTATGACTGCTCACTAACAGAACACCTGAACCATGGATTTCTTAATCCAAAGATTATTTTAATCTAAAAAAAAAAAATACGTGGATTTGGATGTAGCAGGTCTGGCTTAATCGTGCTGTAGAGAAAGAGCTTTATAAAATTAAGTTTTGGTTTAGATGGTCTTTTAATGATTTCTACTTGGTGCTGAAGTTTTACTGGTGTTTAATGGCAGGAGTTATATTTAAATGCAGTGTTTAGGAATGGAGAACATGTTCACAAAGTTTTTTTTTAAAGTGTAAATTAACTACAGGTTTTTGTACATAAAAACCCAGTGGAACTGTGTGCACTTACGGTAGTGCTCCCCATTCCCCCGAGTCCTACATCAGATGAACTCAACCCCTGCTTTGTTCTCATTTAATGCCAGCTTCACAACCCAACTTGTAACTGGTGCAGCACATAGTTTAGGATTTATTTAGGTTTATTCCAAAGCCCGGTGAATCACTGAAAGTCTTAGACCTTCAGAAAAATTTAGTAGTTTCAGCAAAGTCACTATTTTGAAACACTTTGCTAAATAAATAGTGTCTGGGTACAAGAAACTAATCTGCTTAGGCAGGATTAAAATGGTGGATAATAAAAACCTGAACTATTACATTGACTTACTCATCCAGGTATCATGTGAAGTGCTTACTAATCTCGGAGTTTCATAAGGTCTAAAGTAACCCTCACATAGAAGTGCCTGTATTCTGTTATTGCCATTCTTGAGCTTTTTAATAGAGTCATATAGCCATATATTTTATAAATACAAACATATGCACCTTTAAATCTTTACATTCAACTTGCGGAACAAAGGTTTACAGAGCAGAAGTGTAGCAAAACCAATGTTATAGCTTCTATAATTCCCTGGTGAGGAATGGGAGAAGTACAAAAACGAGGAGCAAAAGACTATCCGTGTAAGATGTCTTAATTTGGCACCATATACTTGTCCAATTTAATTCCATCAAGCTATGTGGTTACAAGAGTGCCAGAAATATATCTATCAAGCCATTTTAAATAAAAAGTTTTGTGGACTTGTATATTCCATTTGTTTGTAAAACATCCTTTTGTGCACTGTAATGAACTTGAAATGAAACTTAAGTTATACTCTCATATCACTGAACAGAGAACTGTTCAGCTACCTCTACGTAAGGTTGAAGTAATTTGTTTTTTCCAGATTTGTTCACATCGTCATATAAAATATATTTTAAAAAAATCATAGTCCAAAGAACCTGTATGTGTTTGTAGATGTACTTATAACTATGTTGTACCAACAAAGTCTGTGTGGAGAGTTGTTTGCTAATTAAAATTTTTGTGTTCTTTACTCTTTGCCTTGCATAACAGAACTACAGAGGTGAAACAAACACTACTGTGAGCTGCTTTTTTAGGGGGTTTAAATAAAGGAACAAAGAACAAATCCTAGATCCTGCACTCACAGAACAGCACCCGATGTAAAGGACCCAAACCACAGACATGAGTTGTCCAAACCTCATCACTCATAAACGACATCAAGTGCTTTTTTTTTTTTTTTCCATCTTTGCTGTAGTAAAGTAAGAATAGTGGGAACTGAAGCAGGCCTGGCTCACAGCACTACCGTGCGCATCTCTGGACTTTGGTACCTCTCACGCATCGCTGTTTGCTTTACAGGCTTCTGTCACTTAAAACTATAACCAGGATACCTTTTCATTTGCAGTCTTGGGCAAGAATGAATCCCAGCTGCGTTTAAGCTCCATCTGTGAGGCAACAAAAGGACCATTTTTCAGTGAAGACCCCTTAACAAGAAGTTCTGTAGGATTTTTTTTTTCCAGCGTTCTTAGCTTTATAGAAAAAGCTGGAGAATAATTTTATTCATAAGCCTAACATTGAGAGGAGTGACTCCCTATCTTATTCTACTAAAAATGTGCAAGAGCTGCCAAATTTTTTAAAAGACGTTACATATGTATGGGCTGCTCCTCCTGCCTTGTCAGCTCAGCGGCATGCTTGTCATTTGCTGCCCGAGTCCCAGCCACCGCTGGAATGGGAGATGGCCTTGCTGGTCTCTTATATAAGCTGGTTCAGGCCCTGTATTTATTTTAGAATCCAGGGCACAGGCTAAGACTGTATATGGTAAGCCAGCAACTAATTATGTCAAGACTGCTGTTTTCTGTAACAAAGCACATTTGCGTCTGAGTAGAAGAAGTGTTTTGGTTGAAGTGCTTTTCCATCAGGAAACTGAATGGTCAAAGCTGAAGCTTTGCTTGGGAACATGTTGATTTAAACTATTCCTTTTCAGTCATTATTTTAGTTTTGAAAGCTTTAAGAATGGTTACAAAAAAAGTGGTGTTTAAATGCAGCATAAAGCAGAGAAAATTTAACCCAAATATAGGATAGCAAATTATTTCCCAACTACTTGCTCAATGTGTTCTCGTTTTATAACAGTGTACCTACACAGATTTATTCAAATGATATTTGAAATATTTTAAAGTCATCTACACTTACATAATGCTTCATATTACAGCGATCATCCAAAACTGCTCATGATCTCTATCATGCAAAGCAGTTCAAGGGAAACTACTTATTTCAGAACGTCAGCCTTTGCTTCCCGACACGAGAACCCGTGCTGACTTCCCTGGGACGTGGCCCAGCTCTGCGTGCCGTACTGAGCAAGGGGAAGGGCGCGCCACCGGTAGCTCCTGGCCGTTACCTGCTATGGCTTTGCAAATTTTCTCATTCAGCTGTAATAGGCTTTTTATTCAGTGAATGAGATGCCGCAAAATCCTGGGACATCTTGTAACGTGCTGTGGTTCTCTGTATGACTGAGTGAAAGGTATGGCAACATTTTTATCTTTGAAAGATGAGGCTGACTTCTTAATTTAACCCTTACTTAGCCTCTGCTGCAGCAGTGATGGATTCACCGGTCTTTACCCCATACTACGCACAATCAGTAACAACCTGAGGTGCACTCTCTGTCAGCCTCTCAGCCACATGTACAGAGGAAGGAAAAATAGAGATTGTGTTACTAAACTACTGCAGGGCTGGGCTTGGGGTTTTTAAATGTACTTCTAATTTTCAAACAGATTTTTATCAGCAGTCACTAACACCAAGTTCTCCTAAAACTACACAATAGAAGAACAGATTAAGTCATGGTTACTAGTAAATGGTAATGTCTGGCCTTCTTTACCAGAAATGTTATGTTTTTAACTAACCAGGGAAATTGTATATTGATACCAAAAACTAATATACAGAGGCTACCTGAAAAAAACAAAGCACTGACGTAAAGAGCAAGATTTGCTATGAGGACCAGCCTTCAGCTGCCGCATACTGAACAGTTTGCAGCTTATGATAGGGTGGCTTTCAAGTTGTTAAAGCAGAAAAATTACTGGCTGAAAGAATCTATATAATGAAAGCCTGCATACGCTGTCAGTACCGGTTTTATGCCAGTGTAACATCTTTTGTTTCAGTAGATCTGCTCTTGATTTATAATGCCATAAATGAAAGGAGTATTAAGCTATTTATGTAAGTGACTTTATTTATATAACTGACTTATGCTGTATTATGAGATGGAAAAGAAAACCAAGCACATGCCTTTTTTGTGTTTTCTATGAGCTACGGAAAGATTTTGTAAGAGTAGTGCTAGTAATAAATAGTTTTCTCCGTGTGGCGTATTAGAAATTCAGTCTCATCCACATGGAGGTTTTATCATGAGCAGAATACAAGGTAATAGATGGCACGATGATGTGGAAGGATTTTAGCAAGTCTGCAGACAGTCTAGAAAACGTGAATGCTGAACATCATGATTTAGACTGTAAGTTCAACAAAGCAATTGTTATTCAGGCTCTGCTTTGGATGAGTCAATGATTTCTACTGTGACTATTAGTACTGAATGTACCATCTGAAATTCATTTTGAAAGATTACTGAAGCATTAATGATTTAAAAGTGGTTTCTGCAAGTATTTTTTTATCAATGAGAAGCCCAAGCACTCTCAAGGCTAAAGAGCATACACAAGGATTTTTCAACACAGCAGAATTAAGGGTTTTTCACGTGCTTTTACATTGTTTTTCACTCCTTAGTGAATGATGACTATATAATATTTAGGAAATCAGGGTCAGTAGAGTAAATGTTTCTGTAGCAATTTGGCAGACACACCTTTCATAACTCATAAAGTCACTACTGGAAAGGCACAAACTGGGTCACAGAAGTGCATGGTGGGATGCTGCTTTCCAGTTATGCAACCAGGGTAACTAAAGGTTAGAGCAAGCACTTGAATAACGAGCTTTTTGCCAGAAAGAGTAGAACAGAAAAACACAGTGTTTTTAAATGCTGGCTTCTGAGCAGCAGCCGCCTAACGTGTCTAGTTAGGAGTCATCAAACCGAAATAGAACCGGATGCGTCAGAACTTTGAAGAATGGCAATTCAACATCCCCAAAGAAAAATACATCTGCTTGTATTCCAAAAGCAGATCCTACCAGTTCTCTCATTCCAATAGATGATACTAGAGCCATTTGCAGCGTGCTGCTCAGCTTTTTCTCCCGGCCCACTGTAACTGGCTTTATCACCCATCTCTTGCCTTTTTACTTTCTCCATCATCTACCAGCAACATCTTCAACTTTACAGAATTCCACAGTTTGTTCTCTTTCCTGCTTCTATGTACATGTTACTGGATTAGTTCTAATAAATATGATTATCACAGAATTCTTACCTAACTTCTGACAGAGGAAAGAAGAGAGAAAGGAACCTGTGTTTCCACACTATAAAGATTTTCCAAGGTTTGGAGAGCTTGGACCATGGCTCCCGCGCACAAATGACGACGTTAACTAACAAATAACTCCCATCAAGTTTGGGGATATCAGTTACGAAAACAGAACACTATTGCAAAAAGACTAAATAAAATGGTGCTCTTTCAATCACAATTACATCTCCTGTTACAGCTGCACACCAGATAAATATATTAATCAAAATGACCCCATTTTAGGCATGCATAGCAGTGCGTTATATAACCATGTTAAGTATGCTATTTTATTTCCCTCCCGCCAAGGAGAAATGGTGTTTGTCTTACAAGAGTTC